ATTTTTATTTCACATTTATTTGAGACTTCAACTTTATTTATGAAGCAGTATGATATATCATTACCACCTGTATATAGGGTTTATATCTCCCAATTGGATCGATATGCAAGAGCATATTTATGTATAAACAAATTTTACAACGAGGCAGGCTACCAACAAATTAGTTGATTGATTGAGTATTTGTTGTGTAACATAGACTCGGTAGTATCCCATTTAAATTTCGCCGGATAAATAAGTTGATGATATAAGGGTGTCGAAAATTTCGTTTAAAGCTAACATTTCGCAAATATTTTATGGCTGATACAGCGACTTTGTCGAAAATGCAATCATTCTGTAAATAAGTCGAATGTTGACTGATGTCTTTAATAAAAGATGTTAGGCCATTGATTTCAAACTGAATTGTATAAAATCTATTTAAGATTAGACTTTAGATCTGTTCGCATACTCGATAGTATAGCGAGTATGCAAGCGGATCTAACATGGAAAGTTTTAAAATAGATTGAATTATCTACGGATTACTCCGTTTACCCGATCGTGAAAAGTGTCACAGGCGGGAGTGAATGTCAACAGGAGATGCTTTCTCCTCCATGGCAACTGATCCAACATATAATTTTTTCAGAGGTATGTGTTTGCTTAGATCACAGTTTGTATTGTTTAACTGAACTTTTGAGCATGATTTCTGTTCCTTATTATCACATCAAAGGAAAGAAATTTGTTTGTGATGTTTATTAATCCATATTTTATGTTTAAAATCCCTCAATCATTGTGTCCACAAATCTTGAATTGTCACATCTGGTGTTATTTGTTTAAAAAAGGACTGTATATCGGAAAGTATTGACAAGCCTATACAAAGAACTGTAACACCTACAATTTAGAGATCATAAAATTATCAAGTGTAATGTACTGCTAGCGTAGATTGTTCGGTTTACAAATATTAGTGTGCAGCGATCACCTGTAATGTGCTAGGAATATGAAAAATTAATTTGAGGAAAACCTGTCCTAAAATGACAGTCAATAGCAATTTTCTACGATTACCTTAAAACTTGTGAAGAGGGAAGTTGGTTTGCCACAGACATTTTCTGAAAAATGACAAGGACAAGTAAAGTTAACAGTTAAACTTTAACAGCAATATCAAAATACCTACATTCTTGTCACAAATTGCAATGCTCCTTCGCTAAATAGAACAATATAGGAGAAAAGAATATGGACCGATTATGACTGTAGTACTGAAAATCTTCGCAAGCCAAGGGCTTTCGGTCGCTACCCTCCCCACAAACCATTGGTAGATGTCATATTCAACGTAGACCAATGAAAAGACAGCTGTTGCATTACGTCAATTAAAATAATAGACAGCTCAGCTTTCATATATAAGCGATTTGTTCTCTTTGTTGTATGTACACATGTAATATGTTCTCACCTCACCTCTACTTTCGTTCCTTGATAAACCTTTAATGAATTCTTTATTTCCCCTGTCTGTTTTTTAACACCTTTATTTCTTGTTTACAATAAATACCGAGCTGCAATGTGAAAACTGGTACCTGATTGGTTAGAATATAGACATAATTATTATATTACATAATACGCCAAAAAGATGTCTCTAATTTAAGCCAAATTTTATTGGTGTAATCTGCCAAAGGTTTATGGGAACAGTTGCGAACCGAAAGCCTTTGACTTGCGAAGATACAATACTGGAATGTTCGCGTAGCTCTCCTGTGAAATATCCTACGTCCTCGTTATAAAGTTAAAATACCACTGACAGAAAATGATATGTAAAATTACCAATCATAGCTAAACATCAGAAAGTTTACTTACATGTAACATACCAGGCTTGTCCATAAAGTTCGTGGAGAAATGCTATAATTTTCTTAATTAAGTTCGCATGGTAAACGTGTACGATAATATTTTAATATAGACCATGATTTAGTAAATATATAAAAATCTAAACAATACACATTTTAAGAACATTATAGCTGTAAATGCCTTGTATATGCAAGACGCACGTAATGCTAATTTCACAATAAGGTAAAAATTATGGATTTTTAATTTTTATCACATGTTTATGGACACAAGCTACATTGTTTTTTACCATGCCATTTTGCCAAATGTGTGCAAAAATATTTATGGATGAACCATAATTGATTTAATTTTTAAAAATAAAAACGATACACAATAATTTACGAGCGTCATTAATACAAACTCTTCGTATGCACAGACTGCACAGCCCAGTCCGACGTTGCGCTAGAATTATTATAAGACATGAATATGGATATCCTATTTCTATCAAATAACTATGGTTTTTCACTTCTTGTAGTGTCTCCGAAATTGTACACATCATGAAAAGATCGGACATACCAATTTCATATCAATGAACTTTAATATATTCCAATACTTTCAGGTTGTTTGAATCAATACTTTGTCTCTGACGTCGTTTCAACCATATTTAAAACATAGTTTTATGATTGGACGCTGTTCCTTTCGGATGACCGACGTCGCTTTTTCTGTCAATTCTTGAAACATATTTGTTGCGATTTTTGCTTATTATTTTCACTGTCTGTATAGTAATCGATACTTAAAATATCAGAAAATGACAGCCGCTTTATTTGCGACACATTAGATTTTTATTAAGCTTTTAATAGTTCTATAAAAAATAATCATTTAAACCAGAATACTTTATTTCAAAATTATGACATTTTAACCCTGTGCCTATCTACGACCCATAAAAGACCGCGATTTTTACAAAAATATTCATTTTGTACAATAAAAACCAAACTAGTCTGACTTGGATTTCATAACAAATATTTTTTTTCTAAACAATAAGTATATTTAGAACTAGTCATTTTGACAAATCGTCATTGTCCATGAAAAGTATGGAAAAATAGACAACCCTCGTACTTTCTAGTTTCCGAAGGAAGTATTGCAGATAATACATTCAGATTCTGAGAGTTGATAAAAAATGCCTGAAAAACAGTTAAATAGGACTTATTGGTAATTTATTCCTCTATAAATGATTGCACTATAATTGTAGCATACATTATTTCTGTTTTGTTGTACATGTACTTTCTTTTGTTCAAAATGTTCGTTAAGCTAACTCAAATAAGCTATTATATAATAAGTACGATTTTTAAAGGATACTGATTTAGTTTGAGATTCATCAATCACTGATCAATGAAGCAGTAATTTTGCTAAGGTGAGCTAAAGTCCCAGAATCTGTTACATAAGATTTTATTACACCATCGATATAAAATCTGAATAAGTGGTGTTAGAGAACGTTGACTATTATTATAAAACCACAGTCATCAGAAACATGCTTATACACCTACAGGCCATCTGCGTATTCAAAACGGGTTCCTCCAATACCTAAAAGTAAGTCAGAATTACATGTATAAACTTTTTTGTCTTCATTATTAATACAACTGCAAATGAAGTTATAAAAGAATTTCTATAGTTTTGCAGCTTGTCTGATAGAAAATCTTCTTTAAAAGTTGTGAAAAGATGAAATTGATATAATGTAGTTAGGTTGATTTTCGCATAATTTGGAGTTAGGTTATCGACATCAATGCGAGTTTAATTCATCGAAGAACGAGAGAGCCAGATATCATATAACGATTGTTTATTATATTACATAATAGACAAAGAAAAAACTCGAGATTTTGAGGTTGAAAATTGTATATACCCCAAAGCTAAAATAGTGGTGTAAAAATTTTTGATTTTTAAAGAGGCTTAACTTTATTCAAAATATCATATGGCTCAAACTTTGTGACTATGAACCATAATTATATTTATAGTGCTAACAATATTTCTATTTATTTCTATTTTTAGGGTTCTCGGAAATGCGTTCTACACTGCTTCTCATTAGCTTGGTTTCATTGACTTTTGCTCAAACAGACACTGATTCAAATGTGTTTGACTTGCGATTAGTTAAACAATTCAAAAATGCAAGTTGTATTTCCAATTAAAATCAATCTATTGATCATCAGTAACATTATTATTTGATTGCAATTTTTGAAAATCTTTCGTGTACAAACGTTTCATAATAATAATGCAATGCACTAGCATATCTTTTTTCATTAAAGTATGCAGTAGTTCATGAATAGAATGACTTAAATAAAAATGAAACAAAGTAAAAACTGTTGCAGAATATACAAGATTTATCATTTATTTACAGCTTCTTGCACGACAAAGAATGGTTTGTAACTTTGCATCAATTTCTATTTAATTGAATTAAACAGAGAAATTATTATTTCTCCTTTAATAGCCCCCAAAGCATAAATAAAGTTATATGAATTGATATAAAACAGCACAGACAGCACTCTTATTTGTCCGATTTTTATGTAGGGATGACACTTTTGACTTGCTCTTTTGGTCTGGTTTTATTCCTACATGTATGCTCTCAGGGTGTTCAGAGAGCATGTAGGATCATTAAAGAATTACACATCATATTGTTATGTGATATACATGTATAACAATAACAAATCTCAATTTCAATGTAGAGCCAGTCTGCTATGAAGGATTCGCCATTCTACAATTTGTTCCTTGAATGGTTGAAATATACAAAAAGTGTTCAAGGAATACGACGAAAAACAGAATCCTTGCAGAAGGAGATGAAGGAACTACGAAATTTTCACGAAAAATGGGATGAATTTTTCGACATTGGAGAGACAAATGTTTCAAAAAGCTGTCAAACTACGCCAACCGTCAAATTGTTCTTTTTACTGCTCAATAAAATTGACGATGTTACAAAGAAATTTTCCAATTTTAAAAAGCATGCTTCAGAGAAAGAAGAAGAATTCAAGAAAATGCTAAATCTGGAAAGAAAACACATTCAAGAAAATTCAAAATTTTCAAAATCTATAGAAAAGAAGACTTTAGAACTACAAAAGAGAAATGTGGAGATGGAAGCCAATATAACTAGGTTAGAAGAAAAGTTAGAAGCTACGGTTTCTCGCTGTCAAAAACTCGATGAAGTAATAAAGAAATTAGATATAAATATAACTAAAACTGTAGCTACATTCACTGAAACTGATTCCAGACTGAAATCAGAGATTGCTCGGACAATATTAAAGAGTGATCAGTTTGCGTCAAAAATAAACAATACGATTTCTGATGTAATTGAAAAAATAAATAATGTCAAAATGAAATTCTCCGACCTTGAATCTAAGCAAAAAATACTGTATTATAACATCACTGAAAAAACAAAGAAATTGCAGCAAAACGATGAAATAATGAAAGGAAGAATAACAGTGATTTCTGGAGAGATCAAACGTACAAAGGACATGACCACTTCTTTACAGCATCAAATAAACAGAAATAAATGTAAGTTCAACATGATAATGTTTTCCAAAGATTAATTTGTTGAATCATTTTTATTTATTATGAACTAAAATCACTGATTTTTTAAAATTATTTTTTAGGTCAAAGTGGACTTGTAAAATCTTCATACACTACAAAACCAAATATGGTATCGGATAAGAGTGTTCGCTTTGCAAGGCCCTTTCAAAATAAACCAAATGTCGTGTTTGGTCTCTCTGTATTTGATTCCAGCTCCAAAACAAATGCTCGTTTGAATTCCTATCTAATAAAGTTAGACAGATACGGATTCACACTAAGAATTTCAGCTTGGGGAGGAACAGTAATGTACCAAACACATTATTTTTGGATGGCTTGTCCTTAATGTATCCTTGCAATGTAAATTCAAACATATACAAGTGTTTTTATTTTCCTTTTGAAGACAATCAAGTTAAGATGTTGTTTGTTGTTTCTCTTCTTGGAAAAGTATTAAATTAAAGCAAATCACATACTTAATATTGTTTGTCTGTTATATTTATTCAAACTATAATTCATATAGTGAAAAGGGTGAAGATAGCAAATGGTGATCAATCTCATAAGCGGTAAAATATTCAAATCAAAAACTCTACCCGAGAAACACCATGGGATCAGATGTCTTTGTAGGGCCTAACATGTCTCTTTGACGTTCACACTACCCAAGAGACCCATGTATGGATCGGGTTGGCGGGGTAATCCGTAGTCAACATTAATACGAAAACGATGTCCTAACAAATGGTATGAAATATGTCAGTCACAAATCGACCCAACGAAAGGCTGTATTTGCAAATTACGTCATTGTATCAGCCATAGAATTACACATCTAATTTATGTCAGTAGCCTGTCTCGGTATTAAAATGGATAATTGACAAAATATGCTTTTATGTATTGAAGAAGTTTTGTGACATACCAGTAGACACCAAATGCAGGCGAAAACGGAATGTTGCGACATGAGTACCTGAAGTTGATTTGATTTGATATTTTATTATGTACTGAAACATAAATAGATTTGGCAGCAGCATAGCCTAAATAAGCCCTCTCCACAATCTTCACAATACCCGACATCACTCACTTTGTTATGAATTTAATTGTTAGTTTACCATTAATATCTATATTCAGAAAAAAACATCAAAGTTTGTCACAGACTCCATGGTGCATTTTTTGGAGTTCGCGGGGATACATCGAATCTTAAACTTTCAATAGATAAAACGTCATGCATAAACCGCTATCCTAATGTCTAATTGAAGGATGGAGCAAAATTCTTCTTCCAATGAAGTGAATACATTCTGCTTCATAAGTACACGAAAAGAAACCGGCTATTCAAGAAAAAGCACAATAAGCGTCCATGAAAACTGCAACAGGTTGTCGGAAGACCTGGTCTGCAAAGACTATATATTGTCAATGAGGAACTCCAGCATTTTTAGTACCAATTTTTGTTTTGAATCAAACTGAGTTTTAACTTAGGAATTTTTGCAATGCTTTATAACGATTTCACTTTAACTGAAACGTTACAAGAGAAAGACATAAGTTTCCATTTGGCATCTAAGCTGGGTCTCAAGTCATTAGATAATATTTATGTGTTGTTGAGTTGTTATAGATATATCGCATTACGGTCTCTTTTTTTGTTTTTCTGGTAAAAATGAGTATGATATGAATATTTTACATATTCTTATCTGTATATCTAAGATAATGGCTTTATTTAGTCAATTAGAGCAAAATAAAAAAAAGATAAAAAAAGAAAGGTTATGCTGAATTTTTATTTATATCAATTCAAATTTGATACCCCCCTCCCCCCCCCCCCCCAAAAAAAAGGTCCATTTTCTTCCAAAATAGGAATCTGTTAAAATAAAAAGCAAAGTAAGTGTTTTTATCTAATGAAATAGAAATGTTTCAATATTGGGTATATTATTAATAATATTTACACAGATTTCAAAGTTTTATAAGAATGCTATAATTAATCAGTTCGATCTTAGGAAAGACAATTGCAGTGAGTGATTCTTCACAACTTACATCGACAGTTTGGGCCATAAAATGGATAAGGACAGCTGCAATAGATGGATACCCATAGAAATGACAGGTGTCCCCGTTTTGACAAAGGTTCGGATCACATTGTGCTGTTTCTCTAGGAAGAAATGTATTTTTTTTGGGGTCTTTTTTCTTTTTTTGGTGGGGGGGGGGGGTATCAAATTTGAAATGATATAAATAAAAATTCAGCATAATCTTTTTTTTTTAAATTTTTTTTTATTTTGCTCTAATTGACTAAATAAAGTCATGAAGAGTTACCAAAATCAGAAGCATCAAATCGTGTGACTTTTCAACATTTTACACAACCATTCTCCACGAAGACCAGACTTTTTGACATCATTGTTAGAAAACCGCCTATGCTAGTAAAAATAGAATTTGCAAATATTCACATCTTGTCATTTGTCATCTACAAACTTACTTTGTTAAAAACAATTCTGATTCTACACATGAGCACTCTAAGGTTAATATTAAAATAATGCTGGAGTTCCTCATTAACGGTTTTTATGTAGTCTGCAGAGACCAGATCTCCAAAAAACAATCGAAATTGAAAATCTCATGGGAAGTTATTATCAGCGGACCTGTTTTTGTATTCTTATGAAGCAGAATTTATTTTCAGTCATACGTTGATTTGATATTCCATTGAACTTGAAATAAATGTTTCATTACACGTCTTGAGAAATACCTTGATGTTCAATTAACAAATAAACTTCATGATAAACATGATGACATCAACTTTTCTATCGTCAACGTTCTTTATTCATGTAGCAATATACATTTTCGTATGTATATTGTGTGTAATATCCCAGGTGATTCGATATGAAGATGCATATTTTACATACATGCAATGAAATGTATGGAGATAACGAACAGTATTCAAGCTCAAAAGTCCATTCAACAATACAAATTTTGGAGCAGAGCAAACACGGACCTCTAAAACATCAGAAGTGGGATTAGGTGCCATGGAGGAGTGAGCATCCCCTGCCGACCGGTCACACCCGCCGTGTGCTCCTTGTCATGATTGGGAACCGTTCACGGTAGCTCAGTCGGTAGAGCGCACGCTCCGTGATCGGGAGGTCGTGAGTTCGAATCTCGGCCGCGACAGACCTAAGTCGATAAAAAATAGGTAGCAACTGTTCCTTCGCCATGCGCTCGGCACTTTGGAGTGAAAGTTGCGGGTCTTTCGGATGAGACCTTAAAAACCGAGGCCCCGTGTCACGGCAGGCGTTGGCACGATAAAGATCCCTCACTGCTCAATGGCCCTGAGTGCCGAGTAAAGGTCAAAATTTGAAGCCCTTCACCGGTATATGGTGACGTCTCTATATGAGTGAAAAATTCTCGAATGGGACGTAAAACAATATACAATCAATCAATCAATTGTCATGATTGGGTAATAACGAAAAAATTCGTCGACAATTCAGTGTGTAAATAATGGCCTAACAATTTGTATGAAAAACGTCAATCAGCATTTGACTTAGTGATAAATTGTATTTGCTGACAGGGTCATACAAACAATTTCTAAAACGGGATAGGCAACCAAAAAGTAGTTAATTAATTGACTGAATGATTGATTGGCTTATTATTTGTTGTTTAACACTGAATATGCAGTATTTCATCGATATTTAAAAAATTGACGATACTAGTTATCACCAAATTCGTTTAACGTTAACGGTTTTTTTTCGTTGAAAAGTTAATGGTGATGTAAAAGGTAAAGATAACGAACAGTGATCGATCTCTAAAAATCAACAAACAATACAAATATGTGAAGAGGGCATAAAACACGGACCCATGGAAATTCCAGAGGTAGAATCAGGTGCCTAGAAGGAGTGAGCATCCCCTGTTGACCGGTCACACCCGCCATGAGTCCTATGTATTGATCAGGTAGACGGAACTATCCGTAGTCAATTCAGTACAAAAAAACAAAAACAAAAACAAAGGCCTAACAATTAGTATGATACAAGTAAGCTAAAATACGACCCAATGATAGGTTATATTTTCAAACATGGTCATAATAACGACCATAAAATTTACGAAATGCTGACTTTAAACCAAGCTGTTGAAATCCCTGTAACCTCAACTTATCACTGATTGAATAAATTTCGTTATGCCTAGCCAAACATGCAACATAAACTATTAATCGTTTGAATATTTTTTTTTATTTCTAAGCACCACATCACTTTTTTCTCGAGATAATGATAGAAGAATTCAGAACCCGATTGCAACCTACTCAACATAAAAACTTGGAAATAAACCAAATACCGTTTGATATATTTTATTTTCCCCTCGTTTAATTTTATTTATGTGAATACTAGAAGATCAACAAATAGAATAAAATTTAATAGAATAAATTAATATATATATAAATATATACATTAAGGCATATGTATATAAATCAAGACAGCATTCGACATCGATCGCAGAGCAAATTACGTTACTTCCGTTACCCCCCCCCCCCCCCCACACACACACAAGCGCGTTACTATATCCCCTCTATCTCCGTTGCGAAGGGATAATAGTGGTATGATTTGAAATTCAATCACAGATCAATGAAGCAGATATTTTGCTAAGATGAGCTAAAGATCCAAAATCTGTTACATCAGAATTTATTACATCATAGTTATAAAATCTGAATAAGTGGTGTTAAAGAACGTTGGCTATTATTATAAAACGCAAGTCATCGAAACGACGCTTACACACCCACAAACTATATGTATATTCAAGGTAAGGTTTCTCCCATACCTATACATGTAAGTTGGAATTACATGTATAAACTTTTTTGTCTTAAATTTTATACAACTGCAAACGGAGCTTTAAAATTTTACAGCTTGACTGACATAATTTTTAAAAACAAAAGTTGTGAAGAGATGAAATTGGTATCATTTAGAGTTGGCTAGTCGAATGCGAATTTAATTTATCAATTTAATTTATATTTTTAGGTCAAAGTGGACTACTTGAATATAAAAGTCATACAATACAAAGCCAAATATGGTTTCTGATAAGACCGGTCGGTTTGCAAGATCCTTTCAAAACAAACAAAATGTCGTGTTTGGTCTCTCTCTATTCGATACCGACTACAAAATAAATGCTCGTTTGCTGTTTTATATAATAAAATTAGACAGACACGGATTCACGCTAAGGATTTCAGCTTGGGGTGGGACAATGATGTATCATGCATATTACTTTTGGATGGCTTGTCCTTAATATACTCACAAGTATGAAATCAATCCAAATATATGCAAATGTCCTCCTTCTCAGAGATTTAATACTGTCTTGAAGTTGGAGATTTAAATAAAATTAAATGAATTAGAGATTTATTGTTTTTTCTTATCAGAAAGATATTAATGTAGCACATATCACATAACTAAATATTAAGTAGTTTTATCAGCTAAAGAGACAACATTAATAATGTTTTGGCAGGTGGTGCTAGGATGTTATTTTTTATTTTAATTTAAGCTATAATTCATAGAGAACTGAAGTTTGGGCTGTCTGTTTTTTCCCTTAGATTTTAATAATTCATATACCAGCATTCCCCTGACGGAGCAGGTACCAACATATTCTTTGTAAGTCTCATTATTACAAATGCCTTCTAGAACTTGGATTTTATTCCACTAGGGGTAATCCAATTTGTACTTAGTTTCCTTTCTAAGGATGAAATTCTTCAAAACTATATGTCAGTTTTAAATATTTTCAATATTCCTAACAACGAAATTGAATTCGAATCACATACCTCTACTGGATTCCAAAGCTGAGTACTGTACAACACCGTATTTGAGAAGTGGTGCTAATCAGATGTGAATACCTAAATACTTAAAGGAACTGTTAGAAAATTTGAGATAACAAAATTTTACCAAAATCAATATCTTAAAACCTACGACCGGTTTTTTAACACTCTATACAACCATTTCTCAGGATAAATTAAAATCAAGGTTTTTTAATTGACATCATAGACAAAGACTGTCTCTACAATAAAAATGGAACACATGAATTTACACACCTTGTCATTGGTCATCTGCAAACTTATTTTGTCAAAAAATATTATGTTTCTACACACAGGTACTCCGCACTTGATATAAAAAAGAATTTGGGTTTCTCGTTGACAGTGACTGAGTAATCTTTGGAAATCAGGTCTACCAACAAACTGTTGAAATATTTCCATGGGTACTAATTGTGATTCGTTAGCAGACCTGTTTTTATATGCATTTGGATCAGAATTTATTAAAAGACTTCTACATTAAAAGAAAAAGTCTCTTGCAGTGGCCTTCAATTCGACATTTAGACACGACGACGTTTTATCAATTAGCAATATTCATTTTCATTCCTACGTGGATTCGATATATCCCAGTAAACTCGAAATAAAACATGTCACAGGGTCTGACACATCTATTTTATTTTTGGATATTTTACTTGAAAAAAGACATTAATGGCAAACTAACAACAAAAGTTTATATTAAACGTGATGACCTAAACTTTAATATCGTCCAATAACTTCCAATATTTATACTATTATTACCTGCAAATGGATTTTATGTCTCCCATTTGATTAGATTAGCAAAATAGGTTCTAAGTACGATCGATTTAAAAAGAGACAGGCTATTGACAAATAAGTTGATGATACAATGGTATATCAAGAATCTCGTTTAATGTCAACATTTTGCAAATACTATGGTCGATACAACGACCTTGTTTACAACTACAATCTATACTCGTTAAGTCGAATGTATGTTGACTGATATCTTTCATACAAATTGTTAAGCCATTATTTTCACATTGTCTACGTTTTTTTTTTTTCGTTTACCCATACCTTGCTGCTTATGTTATTGCTTTGAACATTAAAGAATATGATGACGAGTCAAAGGAGATTTGTTCAGATGAAAGCTCATACGCACTGAAACATAGAAATTGTTATTTTGGTCTTTGGCAAGGGGTGAAGGGAAATTTTACTTGAGCATTTCACAAAGTTATTCTAACATAAACTATATATTTCTAAGATACAAATTCTCATGTCAAGCAGGAAGTAAATGAAAAATAAAATAATGACGTTGCTCACAATATTTATTTGTGCAATCACAAATTAGCAGTGGAATAAGATAAATAGCGGTTTGTCCAAAGTACTTCATTCTCTTCCAAGGAAAGAATCTGTTAAAAGAAAAAAAAAACAATAAAATTAGAGATTTGTTCCTCAAAAATATTTACAAAAATGAAAAATACAATGCATACTTGACATACATGTATTTCAAAATATCAATGTCGATCTCAAAGTAATAAAATAATGACAGCATTAATTATTTCTCTCCTTGGAAAAACACATAATAAAAACACATATTTTTGTTACGCATGCTTATTTGCCACTGAACTTACACTGGCAGCTCGGACCATAATATGGATAGGGACAGCTGCAATAGGTGGATCCTCCATACAATTGACAGGTGCCTCCATTTTGACAAAGGCTCGGATCACATTGTTGTGAGGTTTCTGTAGTAGGAATAATATTTCCATATTTTTTGTGCTCGAAACTTTTGTTTCAAGATGTCATGGTTTTATAAGTGTAACTTTACATATCTCAATATAGGTATAACTAAAAAAATGACTTTCGGATAACGGTCTTCGGGAAAGGTAGATTATTCAATCAAAAAGTTTATACACATTTTTTTTTAAATTTAAAACTGAATAAAGCCTACCCTCCCCCCTCAATTCCTCACTTTCCCTGAAAAGAGAAAAGTATTTTCTTTTAAAATAGAAAAATTTCAAAAAGGACGTACGTTCACAATTCGGTCCAGTATATTGAGAAGTACAACTACATATGATACTGCCTCCTGACAATTGGCACGTCCCACCATTTTGACAAGGATTAGGCTGACAGGATTGTGAAGCTAGCTCACAGTTGGTACCGCTCCAACCGGAAGGACACGTGCATGTATAAGACGAACCAGATACGCTACATGTTCCTGAATTCTGACATGGATTGGGACTACAGGGACTCGTGTTAGGATTTGAAGATCCTTAATGAAAGTATGAATAGTTACAAGAATGAAATATTGCAAAATGTGTCATCAGATAATTTGATGAATAATTAAAAACTATTTTAAGAAGATCATCTACTAGAAGCGACACTAAAGGCGATAACACGCAATCGTATAGACTTATTAACATAACTCTTTATAAATAGAATTAGTTATAGACTTTATAAAAGATTTTTTATGCTTAGTATTGATCAAAGTAAAGAAGTTACATCACTAAACGAACAAACATATTCAACAAGAAGTTAAATGTATCAAGGATTTCAGCATCACTTTGCTGATCAAATAGAAGATTCATTCTCTTAAATTTTCTTAATTTGTTTTTATAAAAACAGTTTGACGACAAATAGAAATCCTTTAGCAAAATTCAAGGGAAATCTGAGGACAGGTTTGAAATATCTTACCAGAAATGGCTTGGACCTTCAACTCGAACCTTTGATTCTGAGAAGGCTGTTGATCTCTGGAAAGCCTGCTGTCAAACTTAAGGATCATTATATTTTTGTTTCCGTCGTCAGTTGTCGTATACTCTAAGACTTGATTTGCTGGAGTATTGCACTGCCTTTATAGAAAAGTGTCTTATGATTAGCAAAAAAACCTTTCTATATCGATGAGTTATGGCGCATTACCAAATTTTCTTGGTTATAGGTATATATACCATTTGTTTTTATATGTAAATTGTTAGACTTGTAATTCGACACTTGATATTTAAGGCATTGCATACATGTAATATACGTTCTTTGCTATATCAATGCTCACTTGATTCCGGTCTGTCCAAGAAGGTTAAATCGGATCTCGAGCCAGTGATAACATGCCGACGTTTGTGAATTTCTTGCCAAATTAAGTTCTTGAATCGTTAGTTTTATATTCGAATTAGTTAGTCCCTGGAAGTAAAAGTTTATTAATAAATATTTGCAATAATATTAACATTTATGTAAAACAGTTTAACATCCTAAATTTTAATTCCAAAACAATTGTGAATATTAATTATGTATATGATTATCAACAAGGAAAGCTCTATGCAGTAAAACTGAGTAGTTATCGAACAGGCAAGAAAGGAACCGTCTATATGCCTATTATCAAATTTAATATCAATGCTAATAATCCCATACCTTTTATATTTTATTAAACGTTTTAAAATACTGAATCATATAAATTAAATAAACCATATATACCCTGATCATCCAAACACACTCTTTGTCCACACTGTAGGTACTGGGGTAGCTTGGTGACTTAATATTGTGTTCTTGTCCAGCAGCAAGATCTATGATTCCACCGCAGTCTGAAAATTTGATATTATTCAGATCAACAAGTCAGATAATGAAGTACATGGGTCTTTCTTGAAGTTAAGAATTTAACAATATATATGCTATTTTGCTTTTAAAAAATTATAATGGTGTTTGGTTAAAAAGATCATTACTTCACGAAATTCAAAATTTCCTTTTTTTCTTTTTTCTTTTTGTTCTGCTACATTCGTTAAGGAATTGCCTTTATAAAATTCATTTTGACACCCAAAAAGGTCCCTTCAGAAAAAAACAAAATTAATTCCCAGCATTTGTGTTTGATTAAAGACACCAATAAACAGATTTTTTTACCTGAATCCGTGTCCACCTGGTCACAGGTACTTCCTGTCAGATCTGCTGGACACATACACTGGCAAGTGTGAGCAACAAATCCACTGTTTTGACACGAAGGGGGATTCTGACAGTTCGCTTTAAAAGACATTGAATATAAATGATGTACAGTAAAACACACTTATGGCGAACACGCTTAAAACGAACTGACGCTTACAGCGAAGTGATTTTCATTCCCCTTAACTTTAAAATACATTGTAAACTTTAAGGATATAACGAATTATAAATGCTTATAACGAAACAAAATTGTCCATCCCTGAAACTTCGTTGTAAGCGTGCTTTACTGTATAAAGATATCTGTATTTTACAATTAAAAAAAGTAACTGTTACAGGACTGGGTGGACTCTCTTTAGAGATTAGAAATCATATGCTTATTAAAATAGTTTTTTTCAATACCTGCACAATTATATGCTATTGTGATTTCTTTGACGTCATTGTGAGTTAGAGACTGAGCACTATCCACAAGTGACTCTAATCTGCTGTCTTTTAACTTCATAGTTGGTAAACCCCTGGCAGAAGCAGCCTAGAACAAATTACAAGTATTAATTTAAGGAAATATTCAGTTGTCAAAGTCTTGGCCTTAGTAAATGCACGGAATGTACAGAAGAGGCAATTACCTACAATAAAACAAACAAATAAACGAGCTAAATTTTCTCGAAACAAAGATGAATGAATAATTTTTTCTTTAAAGAAAAAGGGTGTACTTCCATTTCGAAAATTATTGAAATTTTTTGCATTGAGAGAAAATAATTGTTTATTCAACATGTAACTACATGAAAGGTTGCAGCTCAAAGTGAATGCATTAATTTTAATAAAACTTTTTAGTAGTTGAGTGTTGAGTAGCTAGTGTAATTAATACAATAGAGAAAATTTGGCAGTTGAATGCACAAATAGTACCATAGCGCAGTTCTTTGATACTAATATTGGGGAAGAACATTATCAGGAAGAGCATGATACAATTTTTTTTCATTGAGATACAGGTTTGGTCGGTCTCTCTAAGGAGAGGACATTATCAATAACTTTCATATTTCAATTACAAAATCAGGAAGGGAAAAGGGGATCTGTTTACAAGCCCAATAAATGTCAACTATCTATATTTTGGAATCCCATTTTTTTTTGTTTTTAAAAAATCAGAATATTTTGGAACAATTCTCGGAAAGAAAAGAAAAAAAGAAGCCATTCTAAGACAGGTCTGTAGAACGCACTTTTTTGTTGCTGTTAGGTCGAGCAGTTGGAAATTCCAGAATTTGGACAATTAATTACATCCCCCCCCCCAATTTTTGAAACCTTTACTACGGGCCTGTAAAGATGAACAGTATATGATTCTACTTACATTGAGGGCATATTGCATGATAGATTCAACATCGTATGGTGTCCTGTCGTGAGTAGGTCTGTCATTTTCGAAGTTATTCTCTGCGCCTGGTTGAATGTTTGAAAAGAAAACCTCAATATATTTGTCGCGATCCTGTCTCGATTGTTCGTGCATTTGTCCTATGGCGTGCATCAATTCATGAACAACGGTTTTAGTCTGAAATTGATTGAAATTTAAAAGAAAATTAAATGAAGATTCTTAAAGAATTTTTCATACATAATTGAAATGACAAAAAATAGTGTAAATTTTTCTTGTTATTAAACGTTCTTTTGTTTATCTTTTCATTGATGAGTATATTTTATTTAATACATGGATTCTTTTGAATCAACTTAAAAACATTTTATAATTTTACTACAGTCAAACGTTATCTCAAGCTCATAGGGACCGAGATAAAACGTCGAGATAACGGACTATTCTCGATATCAGGGGTAGAAAAGCTAAAGAAAAAGTGGATGGGACTTCCGATTCACTTCGACATATCCATGGTATTCGAGATATCAATGTTCGAGATAAAGAATTTCAACTGTATTGAGAGTTTAAAAATGTTCCTACCGACGCACACATAGGGTCTTCAAGGGTGACATCCTGTTTAGTAAATCTAATTTCACGACCGACAAACGACGCACATCCTTGGCTGAAAAAAGCTAAGAGTTAAGATCTCATTCACCATTCCATTTGTATGATAATATCCGGTGAATAGTATTAAATGTTTATTCCTTTAAAAATACTTATCTAAATTGTTTGTACACGTGCTCAAATCTACATGTATACGTTTTTCATTGATTTTGGTAATTTTAGTAATTTACATTTATATTGATGCGAGTAATATTGGGAAAAAAAGAAATTTTTGTGGTAAAGAAAAAAGAAATCAAAGAAGAGAACGATAACATGAATTATTACCCCCGGGTTAGGAAAAGATATCCATTGTGCGACAAACCAGTGGCTTGGGCACGTGGAACAAACTGAAGACAGGTTAGATCGTGGAAAATCTTAAAAGCATCCTGTATCGCCTGCTGCATTTGTGCACTAACTGTTAAAATGAGATGAGACAAATATATATTACATTACGCATAATCCGACTATCTGCCACACACAAAAGCCAAATTTAACAAAATAAAGAGAGCGATAGGTACAAAATAGTAAAAATGAAATCCAGTGACTTGGAGGCGCCATGATAATTAAATTAATTTTGTATACATCTGCGTTTTCTAGTAGAGAGAGAGAGAGAGAGAGAGAGAGAGAGAGAGAGAGAGAGAGAGAGAGAGATTGACTTACACCCTGTCTGAATTTCATACGGAACTATATTATTTTCCCACAGTACGGCATTCTGAAGGAAATTTCTCTTTTTCTAAAACATATGGACATTTTTCTTGTAAGAAATATATCTTATTGTTGACATTAAACTTAAATAATCATATAAAATAATTTCACTTTCAAAGTTGCAATGTCATGAGTTGTTCTAAGGAATTGAATACTATATATTAGTACTCTATACTTACCCTTCCAAAGGAGCCACCCTACAAAAAAATTTAAGTATTATTTACGTCAAATTCATCATTCAGATTTAAGATAGATAAAAGGCGTTTTATAAAGCATTTCAAAATAAAGAAAGTGAAGAAAAATATATAGTTTTAATAATAGTCATTATATTTAATAAGCACTTGCAAATATGTTGATAAAAAGTGTATATTTTACTATTTTAATTTTGGTTGCAATTGAATTTAGAAATAATAATAATTAACAAAATAAAGACCAATACTTACTGCCTGTGGAAGGTAATGGTGATCTACAGCAGCTACTTTAACACTTTCCTTTGCAGCTGGATTTATTCCAAGTGGCTGTGATATTGTAGGAAGAAGGGTATATTATATAAGTTGTATGTTACTGTGAGTTACTGTGGGTTTGGTTATTAGTAAGACGTATAAACTGTTAAATTCACATTTTCTGTAATTATTGCACATTTGGTCTATCAATATACACATTTATATGATAATTTTACTATTGATCACCTTTTTTATATCACGGATCAAGAAGATCCATTTTTAGAAGGAAAAGGTGGTTGTTTCACACAGTTAGTTGATTTAAGGTATAGTGATCACTTTATATCAATAGCATTTGATGAGTAATATTTCGAATCACCGAAAATGAAAGTTCCCCTTTTAACCTCTCTGTATTTAACCAACCATAATTTTAATTTATTCTTGACGTCTTTACCTTATGGGGTCTTCCTTGGTCATCATAAAAGATCATTGTCTGTAGAAGGTTTGCGATCGGCGTATCTTGTGTTACTCTATCCTGTATCAAAAAACAATTAGATGAAAATTAACAATTAGAATAAAACGTGTCTAATCCGACCACCACTGTTTCATAAGAAATTGGCCAAATTAGAAAACAATTCGGTTTAAAAAACATTTTTAACAAATGAAATTACTAAAAGGGACTTGAAGATTACATCATATTAGACAAGATTTCGGAATACACAACATTCAGATTAGACAAGTTTCACTGTAAATAATAATAACAATAGACAAATGAATAAAATGGAAAAGAAATCCCCTAGCTTTTGTCCCAAATCATTCACATTACTCTCATGATAATGAAAATTTAATAAAACAGTCATCTTATGAAAAAAAAAATCTATTTCATAATTGTACAATGTAAAAACTTTCCAATATAAATAAAATAGCATTTAAAGCTTTTCTTACTTTATCATGTAAATTAGTATTACGTACCCACGAGTTGATGAGGTTTGGTTTCCATAGGTCCACTTGCTTAAACATTTCCCATGGAAACCAGTAAAATCCAGAGGGCAAATTGAATGATGTTGACGCCGAGGCAAAAGCTGAAATTTTATTTTTATTTATTATTTTTTTTATTTAACAATTTACTATTCTTTTTTTTTTTTTTTTGCATAAACTGCCTGGTTCACAAATTAAAAGTTAAAAGAAAAAGATCAAAAAAATTCAAACGATTACTTTAATTACATAAGAAGTTGATTTCCTAATATTCAGTGAGGATAGTTAACGGATTGAGCTTTTTCTCTCTTTTTTAAAAATATATTGTTCTTATATTTCATCGTAAGTTCCCATAGCGTTCAATTTATTGTATTATTACATCTTTTAGCACAGGATAATTTGTTAATATGAATAAAAAAAATTAAAGCAAGATTTTACATCAAAATTTATTCACCTCTCCTGGAAAAGTTTCCCCGTGGTAAAGCTACACCAAAGCTTAAAAGGATGACAGCCAGAAACAAAGAGAGGGGGTTCATCGTCACAGGTTCCTCAAGACAAAAAAGCTGGTATACTTCTAGGGATGTTGTACCATGCATTATATAATATATGAACAGGATAAAAACACACATTAATAAATCATTTTCTGATCATCAAAACAGATATGATTATATGTAAAGCAACAGGTGATTATAGACCAAGCCCAGTGTGTACATGTAACTCAAAAGAGTTATGTTTCCAGCCTTTTTTATTTCCTGTTATTTTTTTTACAGAAAGTACATGGATTAACATTAAACGACTTTATAAGAAAGTGTGCATGATGGAAAGATCGATAAAAAAAATCCTTCAGATGGTAAACATCTTGAAATCTTGATTTAAAGCATGATTTTCCATTTCTGCCTGATTGGTTGTTTTTTTAATAAAAAATCAACGGACTATGCTTAACCGAGTTAAAAGTGCATTTTTGTTGGTTGCACTTTAAAGATTTCTCCATTTTTATTCAGCAGTTTGTTTTTGGTGAGTAAATATCATTTTTTAATGTGTATTTTTTGCTTGGCTTTTGTTTAAGAGAAGTACAAGGCTTAGCATATTTCATTTTATTTATTTATCTAATTGCATTAATAGTTGCACTTGTTGGTTGAACGTCGGTATTTAAATCTGACAATTTAATAAATTTAAACATCTTTTAATATATTCATGTTTTAACTTTCCCTAAAATGGTTCTTTTTATCATAAAATGTTAAATGGACATGGATATTGAATTTTCTTTGGGCCGTGCAATTCCAACAATGCATGGACATGTTATAATATTAGCACAGTCCTATCTGAGATGGGATCGAGGTTCAGAGGCTTTATTCTGCATCCTGTGCTACATGTTAAAAAATCTAAAAAATAGCCTCAAATAAATGCAAAATATTACGAATAAAAACTAAATATGAATATATTTGAATAATAAAATTGGTGAACTTCCCTTCTCTGCTTTCCTGAATTTTTCAAAATACTAGACATTTTTTTGAATAAGTAGGAGGAAAATAAAATCATGGAAATGTTCTTATGAATTGTTAAAACTGAAAAAAATTATAGAAGACCTCACTGTCATCTACCAAACCTATGAAAGACATTAATTCACTATATCCTTATAAACATATCTACAAAGTGTCTCGGCTTTCTATATCCTTTCAAAAGAAAACATTTTGTAAATTAAATTCTTTTTCTTTTCTTTCTTTTCTCTCGTTTTTTTTTCGTTAATGTTTGTTTTGAAATTTGGGATAAATGTTCTTATAGCGGAAGTGAAAAAAAAGATATTGAAAGATGGCTGCATTATTGGTAATTACGATAAATCAATATAGTGCTTCTACCATTTTCAGGAAGAATAATTCCTTTCCTCAATTACACTGTAGGTGTATGAATGTTTTTTGTGGCATATATATTCCAAAGATTCTTACTTTAGGAGCCTGACGTCCTTTGAGACAGATAAAACAAACTTTTTTTTTTTTTTCAAAATCACAAATGAAACAACTCAGTCTATTCCTATAAAAGTAAATGAGAAAGATTAGAGACAATATCCATTTTCATTCTCATTTTTTTTTTTTTTCGAAAAGGTCCCATATAGTGAAAAAATGTATAGATGTTCAATGATAATGGTAAAAAGGATAAACTTTGAACATCAGATAGAGAGTTTATGATTTCTTGATATTGGACATGTTTGATATAGCATCGTTTATCACCAAAATAAGACAAAAATGTAAACAAATCCATGCATCCATTTCCTTTTTGCATCAGGGAAATGATGACGACTGCAAGAAAGCCTTGAAATGCCAGCCATATAGCAAAGGAGCAAGAGGAAGACCAAAGACCACCTGACGAAGAGCTGTTGAAATGCCAGCCATATAGCACACGAGCAAGAGGAAGACTAAAGACTACCTGGTGAAGAGCTGTTCAAAAGAATGGCCGAGTGGAATGCCACCAAAACATCAGCTAGAAACAAAGGGATATGGAATGAAAGCGTTACGGCTTTAAGCGTCTTCTATTGTAAAGAGAATTAAGGTTAAGCAATCGTGTGTGCGTATACACTATTATCCTTATGAAGGGGATACTAGTATTTTCTCACATTTCGTTCGTAAAAAATCGAAACCCTCTTAGATATTGCTCTATTTTTGCCATAAAGGCATAGAATGGGCAATATTTTTATCTGTGTTACGTATGCTATGACAAATTTATCTTTTGGTTGAGAGAGTTTTTTTTGGAAAAATTATTTTCCCTAAATATGTACATTGCAATGTTACACTATACTTTTTGGCTCCATCTCTGCCTTAGAGACCATGGTTTGAAACGAAAGTAAACTTCACTAAAAAGGATTTTAATTACACTTTATTCCTAACTCATTCGTTTTTAGAAAAGTAATTATTCGTCCTCATGCCATTTTCACTATTTCTTATTAGGATATGTATTACTATGGACTCATCATTGTTCGTGGCAAAACAGTGTTCGTGGATTTCGTAGGTCACCATTACACATGAATCTACATCCTCACAACGCTTATTTTGTTAACAATCACCGTATAAACAAATAACATGCGAAATTACGTCCTCTCAAACAAGCAACATTTTTTTGCCAACGATCATTGATCCCAAAGAATTAAAATGATTCCACAGTACTTTGGAAAAATACCTGGTCCTTGTTTTAAGATCGTTTAGCTTTCGCCATCTTACGATCTTTGTGCGAAGCCTTGTGAAATTAACAATAAAGATCTAGAAAAGATCTAGAAAATGACAAAAAATATAAGGATTTTCTAAAGGACAGGGCACAGAGAACATAATCAGAAACGGTAGATTTTTGGTTAATTAGGTTCTCAATCACTAAACAAAAACTGTTGTATGTAAGGTTTTCAATATATGTTTGTAAATAACAACACAAAATGTAAAAAAAGGAATCAAATAATTTATTCAAAATATCGTAAAATATATTTCAAACATAGACAAATAGGTAAAAAAAATATGGATTTGTGTATTCGACGCAAGGTCGCCAAGGGTGGTAAAGACTATCTTCTTTTGCCCCACCATCCACCAGTGGAGACTGAAAATAGACGATCATATTATAGTTAACATTGTAAAAAATCTAAGCATATATTTCAGATGCTAAAAACATAACTAACATTATTGTCCAAGATGTGAACTTACAGGGCTTGATCATTATTATTAACTGAGAGATACATGTATGTTGATAGTATGTTGACAGAAACTGGAATAGAAGATTCTTTCCTGATCATGTATTTGCCGCTTCTGCTCTTAACGCAAATATAACGTTAGAATTGTAGATGATATTTCTGAGGTACTCAGATGACTTGATAAAAGCTTGCCTTTCAGACTATCCTCGATTATGTATCAATGTATGAAAGTTTCTTAATTATATTTTAGGAGGAAACAAACAAACCGTAAGAGAAAACTAATCCTCAAAAGTATGGAAAACCAACACAAGTGGCCTTCAAATCATCTAATCTTAAGATAAATTTATTAGTCCCCTACAGGTAAAACCAGAAGGGACTATAGGTTTCTTCCGCATCTGTCCTTTAGTCAGTCTGTCTGTCTGTCTCTAAGTCTTCTAGCTGTCTGTTTAGCTGTCTGTCCCTCTGTCTGTCTGTCAGTCTAGCTGTCTAGTTTTCTGCACTTTTCTTCTTAACGCTTGCAGACATTAAGCTGCCTTTTGGTATTTGAGTGTATCTTGATGAGCTACAGATCAAATCTGCATTTCGTTTAACTTCAATGATTTTTTTTTCGGAATTATTACCTTTTTTTTATTTTTAAGGGGTTTTCGCATTATTTTTTTTCTAAACGCTTGCATATATTGAGTTGATTTTTGGTATATGAGTTTACATTGATGAGTTATGGATCAAGTTTGTACTTTATTCCCCATCAGTAATTTCTAACGGAATTATGGCATTTCCAGTTTTTGATGGTAACCAGAGTACACTTTCCGGTAGGAGACTAGTATGGCTAATTCAATACTTTCAGAATGCTTTTTGATTTACAAATATTTTACATATTCCAAACTTACTTTCACAGTTTGGACCAGTGAATCTAGGCGGGCAGCTGCATCTTATATTGTTTCCTACAACTGAACATGTTCCACCATTCCTGCAGGTGTTTGGCTGACAAGACTGAGCTACAACATTACAATTCGTTCCAGACCAGCCGGAACGACAGGTGCACTGATAGGTAGATCCGAATGCTCTACAGGTTCCAAAATTTTGACACGGATTTGGGTTACATGGATTCGATATTAAACTACCTAAAATATATAATTCCTGACTTAATATGACGAACAGGGAAAACAAAAGTTTCACATTCCCAACTTTGTCTGAAGGATTCCTCCTGGCAGTTTAAACTCCAAAAGAAATTGGATTTCATTGATCAATTTATAATTAGGTTGAACTCCAGTAAAATATATTTTTTGGGGGTTATATGGCTTAAACATTCCAACAGAAAAATGTCAATCTTATTTGCTGACCACGTTAAATGCTTACAATAAATATAAAACGAAGTATGTTAAATAATACTTTTTACATCTACCTTCACAATTTGGACCATCGAATGGTTGAGGACAGTTGCATGTAATACTGTTTCCAACTATCGAACATGTTCCGCCATTTTGACAAGGGTTTGGCTGGCATGATTGCATTTCAACATCACAATTAGTTCCTGTCCATCCGGAAGTACAGGTGCACTCATAGGTCGAACCGGATACGCTACAAGTTCCGGAATTTTGACATGGGTTTGGGTTACATGGATTGGATACTAATGTTCCTAAATGACAAAATGGTGTGTTCATTCGACAAACATGACACAATGATAATGAAATATGTGAAAAAAAACATGTTGAAAGGATTATCGCTTAAATCTTTGCCTTTTTAACAACTAAGATATTCACTTTCTCATAGATCACCTTATCATAAATGGGAAATAATTATGCTTAAGTTTAAGCTAGCTATGCTCTTATCGTTCAATACCGATTTTTCAATTTGGTTTAAAAAAAATAAGAAAAAATAAAATATAACATTAAAAAAGTTGCTTAAGATATTATACCTCCTACAGCTGTAACCTGCAAACTAAATCTCTGATTCTGAGATGGTTGAACGTCCTTGGAAAACTTGCTGTCAAACTTCAGGATCATAATGTTTCTCTCCCCGTCGTTCGTGGTTGTGATTTGCTGGTTTGCACTCTTAGTGTTGCATTGCCTTTAGATAAAAATGGTATCCAGTTTACAACCCTTCTGATATATACATGTACGTTTTTGATGTCCATATCAATGAATTTCAAATATGAAGTGGACATCTTTATTTCAAAAATAAGTAAACCTATTTTTATTGAAAAAAATCTAATAAAATGAAATCAACCTGATTCCTGTTTGTCCAGGAAAATTGTATCGGATTTCCAACCAGTGGTAACAACTCAGGTCATTTGAGTTCCTCGCCAGGTCCAGTTCCTGTATAGTTAATCTTATATTGGAATTTGTGGGGCCCTATAATCAGATATACAAATTATAAATTATGTTAATTACATTTAAATACCAAGTTTCAGTTGTTAAGATTTTAGGGAAAAAAAAAGATGAAAACAAAAACCACCTTGATGAGCCATACACATTCACGATCTACTGGGACTGTGCTCGGGTAGTTTGGAGATTGAATGGTTCGATTCTCTCCAGATGACAGCTGGATCACGCCACCACACCCTGTAAATTATAGACCAAATCTGGTTTAGCTCATTTCTATTTTAGTACCAAAAAGGCTTCATAGGAATCAATCTGAATTTTTATAAAAATATATAGATTACACATAACAATATTTCACAAAAGAAATGAAAATCGGCTTGTTATTCAGGAAGAGAAATTTGATACGGAACAAAATACAAGTCATTTTAAGCGTTTTAAAAGTAAGTACGTCTACAAACTGATTAATTTTATCAGCATCTAAACATGCGACTTTTGATAGGTTATTCTGTACCTGTATCGGTTACCACTTCTTCACACGTGACTCCTGTGAGATCAGCAGGACACATACACTGACAGGTGTGAGCCACAAATCCTCCATTTTCACAAGAAAGGGAATTTGGGCAGTCCTCTAAAACACAAAAATTGGAAGGACGTAGGAGGTTTGTTAGTTTTTCAAAAATAAAGGTAATCATTAAAGATGTTTTAAAGGTATTTTTGTGAATAATCCAGAGATGGTACGTAGTTGAAATTTAACACCGAAATTCATGCTAAGGCCTCTCCCTTCTTCCCCTAGCTCTCATCTAACTGAGAATTTCATATCAATATAAAGAGACAAAAAGTAAGGGGAAAAAAGTTTTCGGGGATTCTTTTTTGCTTCCTAATTAATTACTTCACAAGAATTCCCATTCTTACCAGTGCATTGATACGCAATGGTAATCTCCTTTAGATCATTGAGTGTGAACGTTTGAGCAGTGTCTACTAGAGCTTCTAGTCTGGGATCCTTCAGTTTCATCGTCGGCTGTCCATTATTCAAGGAAAACGACTATTAAATTAAAAAAAAAATCTTTTCAGACCTGATTCCAATTTTTGTTTGATGGAGGTCTACCAACAAAATTGGATTAGTCCACCTGAATTAATTATCTAATAAATTGAATTTGCAGAAAAGACCCACGTTATGATCTTTCAGCAATTTAAATAACGTTATTACACTTCTTATTTTGACTGTATATTTCAATTTCTATTTTTGAGTTTTGTACTCCAGTAGTCAGTATGTACATACCGTCAGAGGATATTGTAATATAGATTCCACGTCATAAGGTGTTCTGTCATGCGTGTTTTCCTTGTCAAAGTTACGTCTTTGATCAGAAGGGACATTTTCATACAATATCTCGATGTATTCGTCTCTGTCCGAACGTTGTTGTTCGTGCATTTGCCCAATTGCATGCATTAGTTCATGAATCACCACTTTGGTCTGAAATTTGAAACAAATGACTGACGGGTACATCAAAATCTTGTGTTTACAATATATGGCAATGCATTTCGATACAATGAAATATGGAGATAACAAATAGTATTCAACCTCATTCAAATATTACAAATCAGGGGTAGAGCAAACATGGATCTCTAAAACGTCAAAGGTGGGAGCAGGTGCCATGGAGGAATAAGCATCCCCTGCTGACCGGTCACACCCGCCGTGTGCTCCTTTTCATGATCGGGAAAAACGGAAAAATCCGTGTTCAATTCAGTGTGTAAATAATGGCCTAACAATTGGTATAATAAAACATCAGTCAGCATTTGACTTAATGATAGATTGTATTTGCTGACAAGGTCATTGTATCGACCATAAAACATGCTTAATGATGATTTTAAACGAGACTCTTGATATGTGAACAAAAATTATTGTTCCAATACCACATTTTTATCTGATTTTAGTGGCTTTTAGGAGTTTGCTTGCTAATAATCATCCTTTTCCAGGTACTATTTACCTCCCCACAACCTGGTTCTTGTAGAGAAATGGGTTGTTGTCCATTCAGTTGGCGCCCTACGTATGAGGAGCATCCTTGCCTACATAGAATAAAAACACAAATTATGTGTCTGAAAACCTGTGATGTGTTTACATCAAACGATTTCTTTTACACACTGATTAATATTCTTTTGAAAAATGTCAGTCATGATTGATTTATACTTTGATTTTATATTCTAAACGAAAGTGTTCTTTGCCTTGATGCTTTGAAATATTCCACTCCCAATGGGTCAGGTTGAACTTACCCATTGACAAAATAAATGAATGAGTTGTGACCAAGATTGGTAGCCTGTGAACGAGGTACAATCCTTACACAGGTCAGATCCTCGAAGGCTTTTATAGCCTCATCTATTTTTTCTCTCATTCTGGATGAAACTAAAAATTTAAAAAATGTTTATCAATTTAGAAAAAAAACATCTTTTAAAATGATTTTATCTCTAATTGTTTTAATTTATCTGAAAATGCGTTATTTTGATAAAAAAGCATGTCACTTACTTCCTTGCTGTATTTCGTATGGAACTGTTTTCTGTTCCCAAAGTCTAGCACGTGAAAGGAAATTTCGTTTTCTCTACAAAAGAAAATTTTATAAGTATTATCGTTAGCCAAAATATATCACAGTGCAATTTGAAATATTTTGCAAAAAGAACATAAATTATTGAAGCAGAATTCATTTTCTTTAAAAATAGAAAATAGATCACATCAAAAAAGACACGTAACAAGCACTTAAAAAAACAACAACAATTTTTAAGTTTTTATTTTAATAGAAATTTTAAAAAGTTAATGCTGCTCACCCTTCTGTGATGAATGAAAGGGCTAGGCTAAAAAAATAGAAATTCAAATCTGAAATATTTATATAAGTTGGAAAATAACAAAACGAGGAAAATTCAGAATCAGTTTTTTGTTTAAAGATCACAGTAAGTAAATTAATAAAATTAAAAATCTTCTATAACGTACGTTTGGGAGTATGTGATGATCCATGGCGGCTATTTTGACAGAGGCTTTTTGTGTCGGATCTATTCCTCGCGGCTGAAATGTATAAAAAAGTATATATGCCAATTCATTTATTTCTTACACTATTACAGAACAGTCAATTCTTGACGAATTACTGTTAACATCAAATGTTTACTTGCCATTGAATTACAAAAGAGATAAAATGTTACTCCGTACCTATACATTCTTATCCATAATTCGTAGATTCAGTGCTTAAATCAGTAACGAAGCATGTACACGTTCTGTCTTTCCTTTGCTGATCATTAATATTCGTATTTCAAAGTTTTTCTATAAGATATATCATACGTGATCATTATAAAGTGCTCTACCTTGTGAGGTCGCCCATGCGAGTCAAATACAATCATAGTTTGTAACAGATCAGCAATAGGTGAATCCTGATTTTTTCGGTCCTATTAATAAAAATATACGAAAGATTTTACAGATACATATAATGCTTGATAAATATTCTTTTTTGTGAAGATTAATTTAGGAAAATAAATATTGTATCATGTGTATGTTTCAATAGAATGTTATAAACATGAAAACATTTTAAATAAATATTGTATCATGTTTATGTTTCATTAGAATGTTATAAACATGAAAACATTTTAATTCATGTTAAGTCTTTATAATCTGTGCTCACTTTATCGAAGATACTCAGGCTGAGGGATTTCAAGCAAATTAAACAGCAATGTACTTGTAAATAAAACGTATAGATCTAGTGAAAATAATAATGACTAAAAGAAATTACCCAAGAGTCTATTAGTCCTGATTTCCACTGGCCTGGTTGTTGGAACTGCTGCCATCTGTTCCAGAAAAAGTAGTCCGGCAATTGAAAAGCTCTACGGGGAATACCTATAACGTACATATATCTTAACATTTTGTAATTGAAATAAATGATATACAAATATATGGCAAAGTATGAGTAATCTAAAATTTATAGAAAAAAGATAGTTTTTTTCTTTTGCTTGCATTTTAATCTGTTAAAAATATTTTTTTGCACAAACATCGACTTCGAAATAATTAATAATGGTGACAACCAAATATTTTCAGATCTACGAATTTTAGTGAATGTTAATTTTTGAAAAGAAAGGATACTCACGAAAGAAACCTGGTCGTCTTTGGGCTAACACGTGCAGTTTCCATAAATAAACAATACAAACTAATAAGATTATTTTTGTCATCTTGAAGTTATCAATAAATGCAGTATAAGAGATTATTTTTTCAATGGTCTGCTAGAAACAAATTTCTTCTTTTATACTTTTCTACAGTTTAAAGTACATAGGATACAGGAAATAGGGTTTTAGATAAATATTTACAAAATATATTGTTTTTAAAAAAATCATCAAATTAATAAGTTCAAAGTACATGATACTTTTGTGATCTACGTAGATTCCTGTTTGTCTTAAAGTACTTTGTGTTTGAAATATTACAATGTATCATTTGTTTACATAAAATATTTTGCACCTAAAACGAAGCATCCAAACAAACAAAAGATGAAGAGGCCATGTTTTTATTTAAATAGCTTTTAACACAAAATTATATTTACTGTATATATAATTATTGATTACCTTGTTCTTTGTGCATTGTTTATGTTTGATTAATCTATCACGTTCACTGTACATGAAATTTTAAGAAATTAAATATTGGGAGTGAAATAGGGTCAGATATATTTTTGTTCATTCTTTGTTACCTCTTTGAGACTGGTCTTAATTAACAATTAAAGGTAATAAATATTAATTGATTTGATTGTATAATTGTTTTAGCCCCCTGCTAATGTCTGGAATTCCGATCGTCACGTTTCCTCTCTAGTAAATAGATTACATATCGTAAAATTAATTAAATGCCTGGTCTTGATTGATACCCAATAGAATTAGCATAACGGAAAACAACATCAACAAATCATTCTACGTTCACCACATTTCGGGCAGATCTTAAGAATGTCTCCTTCCTTAGTTTGTACTTTTCATTTATGTTTCGATAAATGCTGGAGAAAGCGGGGAAAATAGGAAAATATATGTATATCATTCTAAACTATTACATTCAACTATTATTATCAAAAGTTTTGATGCAACGATGATATTATGCTTAGATTTTTCTTGAAGTACGTTCGTTAGAAAAAGAATTAAACAACATATTCCAGGACATATACAATTTAATGAATATTGTTTCAATAATATAAATTGTATGATTGTTCACAACACATCATTTCTATTGTTCAATTATTCTCCATTTCAAGTCTACATTTATATGGAAGATCGAAATTAATTGTAGATTCATTCATTATACAGAATTGATTGACAAAACATAAATTCTTCCTTTCCTTTCTAAAAAAAAAGTGAAACACGAATGTATGGTACACACATTTGATTTTCGCTTTGTGCTGGTAAGATTGAATACGAAAATATAATACTAGTGATTTTCAGGCTGAAAAAAAACTTTAACATTTGCTTCAAATACTACTGATGTAATATATATCTCACTTTCATTCTCAATGACCGTTTAGTGTAGGGCGGCTCCGCGGGGATTCCGTAGGTCGAGAGTTCAACCCTGGGTTGGGGCGGAAGTGAGAATCCTTATAAAGTAAATTTTTCTGTGCATTCTATATTGATATTTCTTCACTTACAGAAGTAATGCTAGTACAGGAGCTATTGAAAATTAAATGTGCTTTAAAAATGAAATTAATTTCATTGCAATGTGTATCGGTAACGATACTCTTATAAAACTATGTCCAAATAACTGTAATTCACTTCCATTCTCAATGATTGTGTAGTGTAGGGCGGCGCCGCGAGAGTTTCATCGGTATCAAAAGCAGTTTTTTGACTTGTCTAGATAGCGAAGTGGACTAGCGCACTGTTCCTGTAATGCTAGGAGACAGATTCCTTAGGTCGAGAGTTCAACCTGGGTTGGGGTGGAAGTCCTTATAAAATGAAATTCTCTGTGCCTTATATAAATATATATATATATATATATATATATATATATATATATATATATATATATATATATATATATATATATATATATATATATATATATATATGGTAACTTAAATCAAAGATATTCCAGGCATATTAATTCCGTTTTTTTTTTAAAATAAAATTAATATAGGTCAGAGTAAATTAAAGTACATATAAACAAGTGTGATATAAAAGAACAAATATTTACTTTAAACGGTGTTTTCCCTATGGAGATGAATTCTATTTGTTTTTATTTAAGAAGATGACTGTACATAAAACAATGACATAAAATATGTAAAACAAACAATCAACCAATCAATTTACTCTGTTTATTTTTACACTGTTAATAATTTGTCAATTATTAGAAAACATATGAATTTGAGTTAGAATTTTGTATTTATTTAATTTGTTTAAAATCACTATTTTTTCCCTTACTGATCTATTCAATATATGTTTTTAATAATTTTTTGGTTGTTTTTAAATTTAAAAAAAAAGGTTTTGACAACAATTTTCGAATAAATACAACCACTTAACTATTTTCAAGTATTGTAAATGCAATACTTGATAGCGCTGATAATTTATTTCTTATCGGTTTGATAACTGATAAACTTCCGTTGGAATTCATCTATTATATTATTCATAGTGACTGTCCCTGTCAATGTTAAAACATAAAAGCTTTTAATTACTTGCTCCAGTTGCTCTATGCTATACATTTCATTACGATCAATCATTCTAAATTATGTGTAAGCTTTTCTTGTCATGTGTATTATCGCCAGCATCAGGAAATAACAACAACAACAACAACAACAACAACTAAACTTTATTAGTTAATTTTACTTTTTACATTTCTTCAACTCAGTTGGACTTTATACGATTTCTAAATAAAAACAAAATAAAAGATATGGAAAGTATTTTCGTCTTTCACGTCCAATCAAAGAATGATTCATGGACTTTGCAGCTAGAGGTGTACATGTATCATACTGTATATGAAATTTGACTTGATGTCATATAGAAAAGAAGTTGGCTATTTGACATGTACATGTTTATACATTGTCCAGAATACGAATTTAAACAAAATCTCATCAAAGGTCATTTTTATGCATAATCGCAATATTTCTAACAGCATACTTGCTTGATCCGACCTTTCCATATATATTGTAAATATTTAATGTTAAATATTCACCTCCAACTCTTTAAATGAACACAAGGTTAGTAACAGTCCATTTTTTTTTAAATTCCTATAAGTACACGGTTTTTGCATCATATTTAAGTTATTATTAAGTAAAATGAAATCTACAAATGATATTTAAATGGGAAAATGATAATTATGCATCTGAAAAAAAAGATAATATCAAAGATTCGATGACTTTTGACCATTTGTAAATAACAAGGCTCTCAAGGGGCTTATTTTGTATTTTGAATTTCAGAAAATCCTTGTTAAAGCAATATGAATTGTATTTTTGTGAATTTTATTTTGTTGTTAAAATGTGCTGATATGATAAATCTGTATGTAATTAAAACCTTTATAATCAATTAGACTGATGTAGTGTATTAACTTTTTTTTTCAGAAGAAAGATTTCTATATAATAGAATGTATAGTTTTATGTAAGAAATCAATATTGTTCAGGACGACAATAATGTAATTTTGCTTCAATCAAAGCATATAAATAGTTATTCTGTCGCAAATATTACCAACAAAAGTTTATAAACCACCTTTTTTCTGTAATTTAAATAGTTAATTACAATATTACAACAAAAATTTTCCAACATCAAAGTTGCAGCTCATATTGCTTTAAAAATTAAATAAGCATTTTATATCGATAGACCTAATATGTAGACTCAATAGTAAACTTTAGAAAATGTGTAAACCACTATTGAAAATATAAATTTTCTCGCTAGTCTCTGTATTATGAATTTCCTAAATCATTCTCATTCATTAAAATTTCCTTGATAAATATCAACATTTAAGGCTGTTTTTTAACATGAAAATAGAGAATTCTGTCATCAAAGTGTTTTGTACACGTACTTTTTTTGAACTGCCACACTACGTGGATTCTCAGAAAGATACGTATTTAAAGAATAAAATCTGTACTGTATTTTCATGCTTGAAATGGGACGCAATACAATGGATGAAATGGACTATAGACTGAGACAGTTCATGCACAAGATAATCTTATTTATGCTTGTATTTTAAACAAACATTTCTCCCTTTATCCATGAATGTATCGTAGAGACATTAAAGAAAGTATTCTTAATCTGATAGAATTGTTTAAATTAACGATGTCTTTTATGCCAATAAAGAATCATTTTTACTAATAATAAAAAAATGTCAATTTTTAAAAAAAATCTGACAAAAGCTTTCATTTGCACATGTTTTAGCTATTACTATGCAACCGAAATATCTATGCAATAACAGTGCATAACATGACAAGGAAAAACCCACTCTACTCATTAAAACAATTTAAGAGCCATGTGTTGCATTAAAAACAAAGTATAAAAATTGGCGTACCTCTCTCCTCTTTGTCAACTGATCAGACGTACAAAACTCTGATATCCTCTATTCTACGATGACGATGCAAAGGTCCATTTTCTTAGTCGCCATTGTCCTACTCATATTCTCTCTCGGAGTCGATGGAGGTATTTATAAAATGATATAATGTTATTTTCATTTTTACTCTAATACTTCTGACAAAATTAATTATACAAGGTATCTTTCTTTAAAAATGTTATTCACAATTTTTTATGAGCCAGTTTTAGTTTTAATGATAGGCCTTATGATATAGCAGTTCAATATTAAGGAAAACGTCAGCCAAACGTTTCGATTGGAAAAAAACTGTCCTCAGCCACCTCCAAAAATACATTAATTTTCTGAATTATGTA